CTTGCTAAGCCGAAGGCACCCGGTCAAGCATCCTCGCCATTCGGCACGCTGTCATGTTACGTTGCACTGCTCTTATTCGACTCTCTAGCTAATTAGTTGGAACGCACCTGTATCTTGGTGCAACCACCTAAATATACCATACTATCCAACTACGCTATCGTGTTCTTCTTTGGTCTCGTATTCGAGGGTGTATAACAAGTTCGAATAATTGGTGATTGGCCTTCGCACCTGTCAAGTTCGCACCAGGACGAATCCTAAACAATGCACCCTTGCGGAGTGTATGAGTCCCTATAGCCAGCATACTACTCATGCTAGGTGGTTATACGCCCATTAATTTTCACTGCTGCTGTACAGCGAAGTGGCCTTGCCCCATTCTTGTGACCAGAAATATCCAAGCAATTGCTTACCCCGGAAGACCGTATGTGGGTCGATAATTTATTCTTCATAAAATTTCTCAGCCTGAGAAAAATAGCATTTAGATATTGCCTATAAAATGGCATGTGTTCGTATGACTGACTATTCGAAATATTTCAGGTTGTTATTCATTGTAGACCAACGTCAATTGGGGGAACAAAGGAAGCCTGGGAGCACTGGACAGCTGTTTCGCCCTAGTATGGGACTCCTCAGCAGTGCGCACCCTGCTGGTGGGGTCGTGGGTGCGCACTGCTGAGGGGTCCTACATTAGGACGAAACAGCTGTCCAGTGCTCCCAGGTTTCCTTCGTTCCTCCAACTGATGTCAGTCTACGATGAATAACAACTTGAAATAATTCCAAATCTCCACAACTCCCTCAAACGTTTATTCGAAATATGTCATTATTATTGGTCCAAAGGGGATGGTTTTTACTTCTAATGATGTTCGGTAAAACCTGCTTAGTCCAAAGTGATGGAAGGAGTGTGCTGTAGTTGTAAAGCGACTAGGTTTCGGATAAAAAGCCGGCTAGGAACGCTGCTGCAGAGGGTAAGCATTACCACGCATTCAGACCGGCCGGCCAGGCCGGAATCTAACGGCAAAAAAATACGGTTTCAGAATTCTTATGCTGGGTTTTTGTGAAGCTAATACTTGGCATCCAGTTTTGGTTGGTCGGCAAACGTCAAAATGTTGCACATTACATGGCCAACATTCACAGCACTGATCCGCGTAGGGTGAGCCTGGGGTCATTGAATGTGGATAACGGGGAAGTTATGAAAGAAAAAGATGAAGATAAGTGCCCCATTATGAGGTATCATATATTCAGGGTCATATTTTAACGGTAACAAGTTACTTTATCTCATCTAACCCGGGGGATATTGTATGTGAACCAAGGGACTGAATTGACAGTGGGATATATGAGACCGTATGTAGACCTCATGTATCACAGGCCTAAATACAAATGCAGTGACCACCTGGCATTCATGAATTCAGAAGTAAATTTTTAAAGATGAAGTACAGTCACCTTCTTTCATGATTTGGTGTCGGGAAAGGTGGTGAGCACATTCGCTGCCTTGACCTCAAGAGAACTGTGTGCTGTGGATGGACGCTAAGTAAGAATTTTACCACCCTATCCTCCTGAAGACCTGGATGAATTCGTTCGTGCCTAAAAGGATTGTACCTCACCTTGTCTACCTATGCTTATTTATGTCCAGGAAAGTAGATCAAATGGCATCAGTGTTGCAGGACAAGACCTCTGTGTTAAGGATTACTCCCGATAGATATACTTTACCTACTCAGACTATGGGACGAAATTAGGATATGTTTGAAACTGGTACAGAAATCCAGCTGTTTTCACGTCATATTGGGGGTCATGAACTCCATTTGTGTCCTTCTTTTCACAACAGCTAACCTGTATACCTTGAAATGCCCCTCAAGACCAGCTTTTACGGGCTGAATATTCCAAAACGCATTAAAATTTAGCCTCACAGAACACTGGAAAGCCGGAATGCAAATGGCCTCAGGACTTTGGATATCTACCACTGCATTCCAAGTGGACAATGCATATGAGTATCGTTCATAAAGTTGAAGATGACTTATACCACAAGTTATATGAATTTTGTGACACCAACATGCTCCACAAAGTTCCCTATCCATCATCCCAATTTTCTGAATATCATGCAGATTGCTTAGCTCCATGCAGAAGTAATTAGATTAAAGTCTGCAAATTGGGAATATCCCATTTGGGCTGCAGTGTGCTTCGGAAGCCGTATTTGGTGGTGATGATCAATAAGCGTGAAACCGAGATCCTGAACGTCGTAGCAACTAACTTCTAACATCCTACCTTTTTATTTACCTCAGGGTGCCCAGATTAAGTTTACGGTGGTTATCAAATCTTGAACTTACTTTCTTTCATCGCAGAGAGCTGGAGACATTGTAGATTAGTTATTTCATCATCACGATCTTTCGGGTTCAGGAATACGATGCCGACAAATGAAATCTGTAACGGATAGAAGACCAAAATCACCAGTCTTCCTGACCATAATAACCCAAGACTAATTTCTACCTAAAGAGCACATCGGTAAAAAATTCCGTGTTCCCCCTTCTAATACGCGCATACTCAAATATGTTGACACCTAAGTCTATCCGATTTCAATATCTGGAAAGTTAGTTGGTGCATTTTGTTGATGAGTGAAGTTGGAATTATCTAATAAGAATAAATAATGCTTTCATTTATCGTTTATTGAACGTGAATTACAGGTATGGTACCTGCAAGTGATAAAGAGGCAGACGGAGGGGTGACCCATTCCTTCACCTGTATAGAGCCACTTTTGGTGGCTTACCTTTTTAAAATTGAATCTTCCATAGATGGGGATCGCAGCATTTTTGACCTCCGTTACCGGTGGCACTACACAGAAGTTTACCTAACAACATTCAAACTAGGATCATAATTTCTACTGCGCAGCACATTATTCTCCAAGATCAACATCCCAGGGCTCGATGAGATTCAAAACTGACGAACCCATTCCTTTTTATACTCGTGCATCTCCATCTTCATGTTGATAACTTTTATTCGTTTGCATTAAACTCCAGCCTCCATATGTCACCTTGCTCCAAACGGTATACGCATTAGCCAGATAACGGATACGATCCAGCCCACTCCATACTGATCAGATAGTTCAGAAACAGGACTTCTGTATGTTGGATCAGATTTCCGAGAACAGGGAGTCACAAGTCCGCATTCTGGACTTCGTGCTGTCATACGTTCATTGCCACGTCACGGTGCACGTGCTTAACCCTGAAGTGATCGATACTTATGCACTTCTCAAAGAAGCTCGCCTTAGGAAACGTGATCTCACAGATCGCCAACTCTTGGACAAATTGCCTTGCGACATCGAGCTACGGAACAACTCAGCTACTGATGTGCTCGCATGCGAGAAGTTATTGGCCAGTAGGCCATCGATAATAGCCTCTTCCGGGAACTGTTGCCATCGAAATTCTCATAACCTGTCCAAACCGTGTCTGTGCCAATCCAGTCTTTCGTAGTCGACTACTTGGCGGCCTCGGATGATAAAGCATTGGAGGTCCCTGGCAAACCTATCTCCAGTATATATTCGATTTACGAAAACCTGAGAGCTGGGACTCAGAGGAGACGGAGTTACACAACTCTGTTAAACAGCTCCGACGAACCTGGAGTTCTAGGTTACGAATTACAAGGCAGAAATGTGTTCCACCTCATGGCACTAGCCCACGCAGTTGTCTAATAACTAAAGCTATGGGGTGGAAAACCCTAAACGGTGCTGGTTTCACAATACCTGAGGCGATGAAGCCAGAGATTATCAAAATTTATGCGCTCTCAACAAAGTTACAAACTCGATGAACTGTTCGTCCGATGATTACCCACGGTTTAGCGCTAAAACAACGCCAGACTGCCACACGATACTTCGCATCAACGACTTGAATGAACGTGTCCCCCAAGATCGATCTGGTCAAGGTGTATAACCAGATACCTATAGCGGCAGAAGATATCCCCAAAACAGACATTATCACCCCTCATGGACTGTTTGAACTCCTGAGCATGCCTTTTGGACTTCGGATTGCAACACAAACACTTCAACTCATTGTGGATGATGATTTCAGTGGTTTGGAATTTGTCCGTGTCTACATCCATGACTGTCTCATTGCGAGTCCGGATAAGGTAACCCTCTCTGACCATTTTGACCTCGCATTCAACAGATTCAGAGTGTGGTACCGCAGTCAACATACGAAAGTGTGAAATACGAATCGCTCAGTTTCCTTGGCTATACCGTGGACAACAGAGATATGCGCCCGCTGACAGATAAAGTGATGGTTGTCATGATCCATCCAGAACCGACCACTGTGAAGCAGCTTCACACATCCAGTCGCCTGGTTAGTTATTACCAGAGGTGTATTCTTAACCGTGCCTCTGTTATGAGACCACTCGCATACCTACTTCAAAAGGCCACCAAGAGTGTGACTGAACAACATAGCTAGACTTGCTTCCTCTAAAGCCAAGGAAGCCATTCCGAACACAACCACGACCCCACCGCCCCTTTGAGTACTGCTTATGATGGATCTGACCCAGCAACTGGGGCAGTTTCTTGGCAGTTAACTGACAACCAGTGGCAACCTTTAGCGTTTTTCTTAGGTGGGCTGAGGGTGGTGGGAATAAGGTACAGTACATTTGGAAAGGAACTCCTAGCTACTCACTGTTCTGCATGCCACTTTCGACATTGGGCGAAAGGTCGCGACTTCAACAGATAGTTAGTTGGCACAAACTCTTCGAAAAACTGAGAGGCCTCTTTATTGAGTTGTCCCACTAATTTAGTCTGCGTTTTGAGCTGCTGAGGAAAATAGAGTCTACAACTGACTTGAATCCACACCTCCAAATCGAGGGAAAAACTAGTTGTGTATCCTACCTAATTCAGTAAATAATATGCATAAACATTGTGCACATTTCATTTTTGATGCTTGTTATGAGACCTACTAGACCAGATTTTGCGAAGGTTTCATTTAATAGCATCTTACGAGTGGAAATTGGAAGTTGAGTTTTTGACCTTGACGATTTTGTTTAAACCTATCACCAGTTACTAAAAATTGTAGAAGGATTTTTTGCTGGGAAGGATCTATGTAATGAAGAGAATTATTTCCTAAAATCCTAGTAACCTCCATAGTCTTTCCTCACTAATAGAATACCCAAAACCAGGTAAGTCAGTTCAAGCATATGGATTCGTTGTCCGTAGTACCTTATGTCCTGTTAACGTCTTTGTTTTTTCCCTCACGCAATCACTCAATATTTATCTTTTGCATCTATTATGTTGGAGCTTATAATACTTTGCTGATTTGTGCTCATCCAAGTTGTGAGTTCCTTCGTCTCAGCCATATTATGTTGAGTCGGTCCCTACTAATTGAAGCCAAAAAGTCACTCCTCTAAAGGTTAACCTTCATCGATTGTTTAGCATATATCAAAGTAATTTTACTTAACTTCTGTGAGTTAAACTCAGTGCTCCTTGTAAATTAATGAACATATTTTTCTATAGGTGGGTGTCTTTTGTTGGTGGTTGCTTAGCAGTTAGTTTTGTTTTGTGTAGTGGCCTAACTGATATCCGTGCTCACCTACTTACACCAATTGTTAACAGGGTGTAACATTGTTTATGATGTCTTTATCATTTCACTTCTCTACCATGGGTCAAGCCTTTTTTACTGATATACCTCTGAAACCTCTACCTACCATATGTTTGTATTTCTCAATAGTTAACTGAAACGACTGAGATTTCAAGTACAAACGACTAATTCAGTTTCATACCTCAGCATGCCTTACAAAATAAGCAGTCATGCATAATGTAACTGCTGCTCTGTTAGTTATTGTATGCCAACGAGACATCTATCAAAATGAAATGTTAAGTGATATGACCTCCGCACTTAATAGTCTATTCATTACTTGCCTAACATTATGGTCACAGTTGCAAGCGTAACGACGTTAAACAGTAATGCTGAACATGAGGAATGGTTGGCGTTATTTACATTGTTTTCTACGTATACTGAAATGTTCCTCACTCCGGTCTAAGCGACTTGGTAATACCATAGGCCCTCATCACATTTATCAGACGGATGTGGTTCTTACCCTGAATTGCTTACTGAGAAGGTCTCTGCTTCAATCTTTGATTTCATATGCTCTTTTGGGACTTCACAATTGCTCTTGAGACCTTAACGGTTTTTGATCGGTGGCTCAGTAGTTTAGGGAGATGACTTCCAACTGATGGATCACGGGTTAGAACCGTGCTCCTCCTACTGAGATTTAGGAAGTCAGGTAGTATCACCAGCCCTCACACAATAGGTGTGGCTTGTTACCTGCCGCCCGCATATCCCCAAGGTAACTGAGTGGGTTTCGTTTTGAAACACTGCGTCGTTTAGTGTGTTCAAATACGAACTTTTTATACGTTGCTGGAATGAGAACAGAAGCCGTTTCCTGTTTATTAATTAAGCATGTCTTTCACTTGATTTGGTGCCACGCCACGATAATGATTGACAGGTTAAGTGACTGACCGTGTTTAAGATTCATTTTATGGTAGCGTTGATATTCGACATCTTCCTACGCCACTTGTTTCAACAGAGATAACCAGTTTTTATCGTATCTCTGCAGTTTTTTCCTCGATTCATAAAACAAGCATTTAAATGTTAGTCGTCTTATTTATTTGTTACTCCATTCTGAAGAATGGAATATTGGTCGTATTTAGTCTTTGTACAAGCATATATGACAGTACCGTAACCTACCTATTCGACACGCTTTTAATTATTAAGTTGAGTTTCACCTAGTGTATAGAGGTGCATGATACCTCCGGCTTACTGAGGTCAAAGTAAGTGTAGCACGATTAGAAACCAGAATTCTTTGTTTAAAAGTGGTATTCATTTCGATGAGCCACAGCTTCAGTGATAGATAAAATCAACGTGGAACCTCGCACACAAGTGCACTGGTTCAATTTGCTATATTTCACAGTAATATACAAATAACAAGTGGACAGAAAATGAATAATGCCAAGGTAGGCAAAGTGTGAGGCAATAATCAATTTGAAGAAAGAGGTTGGTGCGAATGTTCGGGCTTCAAAAAACATCAAGGAGTAAAAGGTGTGCACCACTGTGACTGATTTTCAACCATTTCATCAGGATTTCTCAACTGCTGATTCATATCCTCTCGGGGACCCCAGCCAGGCCGTCTACATTTCCCCACATGGCCCAGACCAGCAGTCAGGGACTGGTGCCATGTCTTGATCTGGCCACCCTAAATCCTCTTCCAATTTAACCCAGCTTCCTCTAGCATACCATGTCGAGGTAAAAGGTGTCGGCATGCGCAAAGCATTAAACAGCGGTAAACACTTCCAGACAATTTATTAGGGGTACTTACTGTGTTGTTTGTTAATATAACCTGTCCGCTTTTATGGAACAAGTCTAGGTAATCCGTACTGAGACTCAAGTAAGTGTCCACCCAGTTAGTCTAAAGCAGAAACAGTGCACTGTCTAGGTATTGATACAGTAGTTTTCAACCGATTTAAGTGATCACTTATTGAACAAACGTTTATTAATTTTCCACACTATGTTCGTTAAAAGTAAAGTAACTTCTTGCAACACTTTGGTAATCTCCGTCTAGAGACATAAGTTGAAGTGTAATAATTTAGCACTCAAGTCCAGTCTAATTTCTTCGCCATGTGAATGATGGAATTTCGTATGACAACTGAACGCACTTGAACCGTTTTCATATCCCTTAATAATCCATTCATCACCAAAGAAAGCGTGACAGGAAGTGTTATTATTTAATCGGTTGGTAAACTTTTAGGGCTTCTACTCTTGTCATATTTGATGATTGTCAAAAATAGTCTGAAACTTCCTGAAGTGGTATATTTTGTATGAACATTGAATTCATTTGGTCAAGTAGTATGCTTGCGTTTCATCTAATATATGCTAGTTGTGTATTTGTTTTGTTTCAAATAGGTGGTCGTTAATGTTTGAGGCATAACAGTCGTCTTAATATATGTAGCTGTGCTTTATTATGCGCATGTCTGTACATAAGTGGTTTCTTGTTAGTAAATAGTTCGTGAGTGAATGAAAGTCTTCCCAAGATTGTTTTTCCTCTTTTTCTCACCTAGTTGACTGTCACATCCTCAGGTTTTTCTGTCGCTATTTCAGTAGTTTTATTCAGGCCAACAAGTGGATTCAAACATTCGTAAGGCATAGATGATAACACAACCTCGGTGTAAATGCAAAAAATGTCACATTGTAAAAAAATATCTCTATGGGTTTGATTATGCATGTCACTCAGGTCTATCCTATTTTATCCTTCAAAAACAGCATCCAGTAGCCCATACATTAGCACCTTTTATGTGTATTGTAATAATAGGGTCAGAAATGTCAAACTTTAGTTGTGCCATGTTAAAGGCGATAAATTTAAACATTTATTCGTTATAAATTGTTTTGGATGCTCTATACAGAACCGATCGCCTCTAACCAGCAATCATGCATGATAAAAACTAAATATTCTGAAGTGATGGGGATAAATATGCTTTGTGATTTCATTTGTTGTATTTGGCTTCCTTCTGGACGTAGAATTTCTGTTTCTTGTATTTTTTGTGACCATATGCTGATCCGATCGGTGTCTGGTATTATCACATCAAATCCTTATCCAAATAACTAGACTGGAAATCGAAATGCACTCAGCAACCTTGTGCATATTCGTGTAGTGGGCAATGAGCCACACCTATTGTGAGAGCTAGTAACACTACCTGGCTCCCCAAACCTCGGTAGAACGAGCGAGGCTCGAACCCGCGATCCATCAATTGAAAGTTATTTCTTTAAACCAATGAGTCACAGCTCAAAACTAGACTAACTATTTATACTTAGAGTGGAGGTTCTAATATTTCTTATCTAATTTCTAGCTTCATATATAGTTATCTAAATTATGTCGTTAGTTTTCTTCCTTCTGTTTCTGAATTAGGCAGCTTAAACTAATAAGCTTATATGCTCCGGATTAGACAAAGAAAATTTCTGTCTTTAAGGGGGACGGTCACAGGCTTAAATGCAGATGGCTCAATTTTGTTACAAAAATGCTTGACGACACTATTGAGGCACATGTAATATCACTTGTTAAGTTATGGGCTGTTTGCATTAATTGGGATGATGTGGTTTTCTATTAAAGAGCTTGAATCTCTGGTGTAGGTCTATTCAAAAATATAAATGTGCGGTCTGTAAGTTAAACTAAAACAATACATTTGGTAATAAAACCATGCCTAGCTTTAGGCTGTGTTCAACACTATTTAGTAAGTTTTGTCTCTGAATACAGTTCATTGCTTTTTCTGGCCATAAGTTTTTGTCTGCTAAAAGGTCACTTTTTCTCAAGTTGCCGTTTGAAATGTAGCCACTTGGACTGCTGTGCTTTTATGCTAGGTTCTACGTTGACTTGTCTGTTTATATAAATCAGTGGTAATATGTCCGAGAACGAACAAGATTTTTGAATCTTGAAAGCGCCTATTTTTATTCTTGGTGTCGTTAATCCCCGAAAAAAACTGTCGGTTTTGGAACATCAAGAATTTAGCATTCTGATTTCAGTCGGTTTGTGTACACCGCTAATAATCCTGGCTCGTGGACACTGCAGACGACTGTACCTTATAACTCATACTGGTTAGTATCATAGCCACGCATCCTAAAGCGATTTTGAAACCCCGAGTGTGTTCGGGTAAAGTGCATGTCATAACAGAAAGATGTAGCTCTAGTAGTCTAGTCATTTGGCTTCTAGTCACGGGTTTGAACGCCATCCCACTTGTCGTGGTCTGGGCTTCCAAGTAGTAGTATCATCAACCCTCATACATTAGATGTAGTCCATAGTGTAGTGCACAAACTTGCAGGTTGCTAATGCCGAGTGTTATAAAAAACTGTGTAGCTAGAAAGGTGACTTTATAGCCTTAAGATTTTTTACTTTGCTATTCTTTGAGATAACGCATACTTGGCAGTGGTCAAATATTTTAATCTTGATGCATGACATTAGGAATCATTTTGTCCTAAACCTGTAGCAACTGTGTCAGATTTTCAAGTCCGTCAGCAAATAATTCAGCGTGAATACCCTACGAGTGTCATTACCCCCTATTCACTTTTTCAATATGGTTAATGGCTTGGTACACTATGTGTGTCTGACTGTTGAGTTTTGTTAGTTTCATTTCAGTGGTGTAGACATTTAATCACTAATCGTTAAATTACAGGTTCAAGTCCATTCCATTTTAGTTTGAATAACCTTAACAGCATTTCATCAAAATTTCTCAACGTAGTTGCGAAATTTTTGTTCCCTCTCGATACTGCACATATTCAACTGCAACTTCATGCAAGAATAGTGCACTCTGTTTTCTGTTGTATCGTTGGGTCATGGTGACTCATGAATTGAGGTAAATGTACAAATAATCCTGTTTTATTTTTTTTCCTGTTAATGAAGGCATAATGTCTGCTCTAAAACTGGAGGATCCTACTGTGGATGTTGGCGACATCGAAAGATATCGGATGGCTTTCTTAATGCAGTTTTTTGTACAACATAAACGTAGATTTCGGTTTCCACGCCTTCGGTTGCAAGTAAGTTAAATACCAAGTATTTTATTATTTCTCAGATTTGGTATATTTTTTGAGACTAATTGTTATATTTTCTGAACAACAGAATACAAACTATGATTCTTTCTAGCATGATGACAATCTTTTATCATTAAGGGAAATGTCATTTCATTAGCAGTAACCAGTCACCTTAATATTTTCTTGTTCCACCTTGTCATCTTGTCACGACTTCCTTCCATCTTTGACTGCTTTCTTCTCTCTTTCTTTATGCTTCATCTTATTGCATTCTCGTTTGATATGTAATGATTTAGACCATTAATCAGTAATGTCTAGTTCTATATTAATCTCGTTTGTCCTACTATTTTTATACTTATCTTAAAGAAGGATATGGATAAGGTCTCAGGTCTTAACCTTTAACTTTACTCGTAACTGCCTGTCATCCACATATTTAATCAGAGTTAGTCATGTAATCTTGAAAACATGTGAGTAATATATCTCGTTTAGGACAGATTTTTATGCATCGTACATACATGAAAGGCTCAATTATCACTTACCTGTTCACGTTATATTGATTCACTATTCTCCAACATGTTATTAAAAACTACCACAAAAATTCTTAAACACTAGAGTTAAATTTCAATCGATAGTCAAAATTTCTTTGACAGAAAATAGAAGAGTTCATCCGTTTCCTACCCTTGGGCACTAAATTGTCTCCTAGTCTTCATTTTATTCGTGAATTCGTTAGATGATAACTGTTAAATATCAAGGTGTATATTTTGTGAACTGGTAGCGTTAAACTCTAATAACTATAATACTTTTAAACTTTTCCTTGGTTTTAAAATAATATGAAAATGATATAGAGCCATTTCAATTCCTTAACTCGCTTACTTTCAAATGTAGACACTATTTACCTATTCTTAGTTCAATTTAGCATACATGAGTAAAATTCTCAATCTTACGGCTGAAACCAATTTTACTAGGTTTAATCGGTCCAGTTGTCTGTGGTTCACGTATTTCAACACTTTTATATCTCTCCATTTTTTCAGAAATTAGATAATAATGTTAATGACCAAGAAAGAACCTTTAATACAACCTTTTTTTTTCGTTAACAACGCAACATTGACTAACTAATCAATTTTTGTTTTTACACTATTTGTATATGAATCTATTCAACCAAAAATCCAATATTTTCCAAAATTTGGGCACTAACTTCTCATAGCTTGTAATTTGGAAAATATTTACTGTAATTATAAAATCCTGTTTGTGCAAGTAAGGAAGCAAGAATACTAATAATTTTTTGTTTTTACCTAATTAAGTTATTGTTTACTCATTTTTTGAAATAAATTTGTGATGATTCACATGTCGTGAAATGATAAATAGATTAAGTAACACCCTAAAATCAGCCTTCATATAGTGCAATTTAATTTCATTGGGCCATACTAAGAAAGTTTTCAAATAAAATATATAAATAAACTGAAGGTGTTACCATGGGATCACCAATATCCCCTATTGTCGTAGACATATTTATAGATAGTTGGGAACAGATAGCCCTTCAAACGTTTAGTCCCACTCCAGAGATATGGTCCCCATATGTAGATGATACGTTTACAGTACTGAAATCGGAACACATCAATAAGTTTTGACACATGTAAATTCACTAGTGAATGCAATCCAATTTACTTGTGACTTAGAAAGTGATGAAGGTGAGCTAACAGTGTTGGATTTCAAGATTAAACGAAAACAAGACGGAAGCTTAAAGACTAGTGTCTAAGGAGAACCTTCCCATTCGAATCGCTATTTGGACTTCAAATCATCTCAGTCCATTTCAGTTAAAGTAGGCTTAGTTAAATGCCTAAGTGATAGGCGAAAAAAACTTACTAGTAGACCAGGAAATCTGCTACAAGAAATTAGACACATCAAGAATACCTTGCGCCTCGATAATTACCCACCAAAATTTATAAATAAATTCATAAGAAATCGAAAGAAAATATTGGTAGTGGTGGTAGTAGTAGTAATAATAGTACAGGTTTTATCAATAATAATCCTACTACTAGTGGAAATAATGATGACAGGGTTGAGAGAGAATTCAAAGCCTCTGCTGTGTTACCATACAAGGAAGGCACCTCAGGAGCAGTACGAAGAATTCTCGATCGGGCTGGCTAGGATTAAAGTGGTATTTGAAACCAACAAACTCACTTAGAAACAAGCTTTGTAGGTTAAAAGTTCCTATCAATGCAATCAAGTAAAATAATCTGCTTTACTAGATCCCTTGCAGTGATTACGAGGTCAAATACAAATGTTAGAGTAGTCTACCAGGGTCGGTGAGAATAACAGAGCACAAAAACTTAGCTAAATCAAGCTTAGTAGATCCTAATAAGATAAGAAATTTAGAGAAAAGCCTGTTTGTAGCTCTACACGCAACTAGACACAATCACACAGTAGGGTGGGATAGGGGGACAGTGTTGAAAACTAACTTATATGAGTGGAGGGAGAGATTGATAACCGGGTCTTTGTTTATCGAATCAGCACCAAATACATTCAGTAATGGAAATGATTGTGCACCTATTCCAGATATATGAAAAATCCCACTATCCTTGTTATCACAGAGAAGGATAGGAGATTAGAACTATATAAACTCTGTCTCAAAGTTGTGGAGTTAGTTGCCTGATATGAATATGGACAATAAATGATGTCTGAAACCTTATCCAGTGAATGACAATGTTTCACTGTGTGCTATTTCTAATAAATAGACTAAAATGGAACATAATAGGAAAAGTCTGCCGATAGGTCAGTATAGTTGGGTTCTTCATTATATGGAAGGGCACTGCTGTCCATCAACGGCTTTTATACCTGTCAAGTGTAAAATGATGCTCCACAACTAGTCCACATCAACACCCAGCTTGAGGATAAGCAGTGACGGTATTGACTACGTTTATCACATCTGTCTGGATTGTTTAATGCAATTTGGTGGACTAGTTGCTGATGGGATTTCATCATAAATAGAAATGTCTTGCGAATAATATGTGCCATTAAGATATCCGATTATTTCTCAAAGGAATTTACTCTTTTCTAATAAATAAATGTCAAAATAAGCGGGTTTTGTAACACATACTTTCATGACTGCTTGTTTTTGGTTAAACATCATGGTAGTCAATATTAAGGATCAGCACAGAGTTATACTCTTTCTTTTCGAAATTTAGAGAAAAATCTATGAGATTACAACCTATGATCTCTTTGCACTCCTCTATATTTCAATTTGTACTGTCTTAGCGCTTTTGTTCGCAGTATCATTATCTATGTGGACGCTAAAATCTAAAGGTGTATTGTGCTATCCATTGTTTTACTATGAATATATCCGTTTGAGGAAAGTTTAGTGGCATTTAATTTCCCATATATTCTGGATACTGAATTGATAGGAAAGTGCTTAATTTCAAGTGAATAACGTAAATTATTAGTTAGGGAAAAACTACTTAAAGATTGATTGAAATTCGTTACTTGTCTGTAATGCACACCCGGGAATTTCATTTACTGAGATAAGTCAGTTTGTTTAATCTATTGTTTGAAAACGTTTTGGTGTGTAATGGGTGCGACTAACTTTATCTACTATAATTGATTTAATGGTGACTAGCAATGGAATCCAGGACACTTGTCTCGTCTTATTTAGGACTTGTCAGCTAAATGTATTTGCATTCCAATGGGTGATGTCATTCCCGCTGAGACTGTGAAGCCCCAAAGTGTCATCCACTTGACTACTGAGGCACGTTAATTACCTCATGGAACGGGTATTAGTTATAACAATAAATATTCAGACGATATCATGAGGCATTCACATAGGAAGCCTAAATACTACCACAGGCGGATCAATTCGTTCCAGTATAATAACGGAGGATTACAAGTATAAACAAACAATAATAAACTTATCTGGTTGTGATACTTTTTTTTCCTCATAACCGTAAAAACATCAGAATAAGGTGTAGAACGGAATCTGTCAAAAGATCAAATCAATATTTTTTTCCATCTTCATCATTTTACGCAATCCAACTTAAAACAGATTTTAAAAAGTAGTTGAATATTTTTGTGTAGACAGTAATGAATGATAAATCGGGGGGGGGGGGGGAGTGTCAACAAAACTAGGATCATTGCTGATGTTTTAAAAACTAACAATCATGTGTGATTATGGTGTTTGTGAACACCTGTTCTCGTTTTTTTCATCTCTAGCTGTCTATGACCTGAACTTTAAAGAGATGAAACTATGTTTACAACATTTCTATTTCAGTGGTATTGTGCTGCAAAAAACTAGTTCGGCAATTTATGCTCGTCACAAGTCGTACCAATACGCAACCAGGATCACTAGTTGTGGTCTTCATGAAGTAAATATATTCAAGGATACAGTTAGGCAAATATGGGTGTAATTGTTTGTTTACGTTGAAAGGCGACAATTTGATGATTGTTTGGTGAAAAATACTCATTCATGCAACACATTTTTCGGATGCCCTGGTTGCAACTAGCTAACAGTGATTATATCTGACTGGCTGACTGACAAAATCAATGTAGAACCTGGCGCACCTGTACATCCGCTCAAGTTGCCATACATCAGTGTAGTAAAAAAAGAACAGGTGGATGGAAGAGAAGGGGTTATATCAAGGTAATATTCTTCATGGACCATGCAACAAACTTTGAGGAGCGAGAAGATGGACATGTACTGAACCAATAAAAAGATCCTAGAAGATTTGGATTTCGCACAAACTCAAAGATCTACAGGCGAAGACTGGACTTCCTTCAGGTGAAGAAGACAGAGGTGATGAAGATACCCAATAAACAACAGCATCAACAACAAACACCAATTACCATCAACGGGAGAAGCCTAAAGGAAGTAGTCTCTTTCACCTACCTGCCTAGGCAGGGCAACATCGTTTCAACTACAGGCAACACAGGCACAGATGAGGATATCAAAGTCAGGATCGGAAAGATAGCAAGATAAGTCTTCATTAATCTGAAATCCATGTCGAGGTCTACTGCACTGG